TGGTAAGGTGGTGGATGTAGGTAGTGCTTTTGGTTTGGGTTGTATCAGGAAGGTCGGTTTATTAGGTGGTTAGAGAATTGGGGTCAAAGCATAGGGGTGGGTATAGGATGTGAGGTGTGGGGTTAGCCTATGCTTGCTCATGGACCCTAATCATGGGAAACCCCCCATGTCTTGAGGCTTTGATTTTGCCACCGGTTTGCTCCTGTAGCAACCTGTGCCGAGGTCCGATGTGGCCTTCCGCCTTTTGAGCTTCCAGGCTGGAATTTCAAGGTGTCGGGGTAGTGGAAAATACAATGGAAATTACTATTTAGGGTTTAGGATATTGGGTGTATCTTGGTCCCAAGATAATGTACAAGAACATGGAATCTACCATATTATAAGTGCTCGATCGGTACTCCAAATTAGATTGGCAGACCGTGATACTGTCCTCGTCCTTTCTCATGCACCTACTTGTAACCACAGAGAAGCTTGTGTGGGCAGATTACTGCAGGCTGTTCGTAAAGGCTGTGTTGAGGGGTTTCTGAGCCACTGGGAGCATTTCCTCGCAGCAGTTTCCACGGGGCGCGCGCGCGCGCGCGCAAAGGACCGCGATTGTGATCCTGCAAGCAAACACATACTGCGTATAGTATGCATACCCCTACTCAGCCTGCAGGGCATGTCTTCCAAGCGTCCATGTTGTTCGGTGACAATGTGCCAATGCATCGTGGCTACTTGCACGCGAGATTTATTCGAAGAATCATGCGCGCAAGGCAGACTCAAGAACCTACATCATTGGACCTAACCTCTGCCAGGAAGCTCCAACGTGAAGCTTGAAGTCTCCAACGACGGGGCTGAGTGGTCCACGGAGAGCTTTGAGGCTGGCAGAGTCCGTTTTGAAGCCGCCTAAACTTATCCAGGAGTTTTTGTGTCAGAAGAATGCCATTCAACCAGGTCTACATCGTGTCCGCCCTGGAGTTGCGGAAGGCATGTGCCTGCAAGCTAGGTCAGATACATGCCAGAGCTGAAATGCAAAAGAGTAGCTCTGAGTTAGCTCTCCGCCCGCGCTGTGCTGCAGCTGTTTTGTTTTATCAGCTTCCTATGTGAGCCTATGTGATGTCGGACCTCAGCCCATGGGCACCCTTTGCAATAACGCAGGGCCACCTGCAGGGCCAAAGAGAAAGGAGGAGCACAATTCAGGCTGACGGAGAAGGTGCTTTCTTCCTGCAGCCCTCGAAGAAACCAGATTCCCAGGATAGAGGGCATCAGCTTGGATGCCATCCACTTGGCCGACTCAGGAGATTCGTCAACCAAGTGTTCATGCCAGTTGATTTTCCATCTTCCGTCACTGAGAGCTACTTGACCTTCATCCAATACACTGCTTGCCAGTTGCTCTGTAGCCACATGTCGAAGATAATCGCCACACAGGCCATGCTCCTTGCTTTGGGAGTCGGAGGTCCAGAGACGATCCCGATGGCGGCTGTTACCGCCTGGGTGCTGAAGGATGGCATTGGGCATCTTCTTGCCATAGTTGTAGGCACCCTCATCAACAGGCGTTTCGACTCAGACCCAAAGCGATTCCGCTTCCAGGCAATGATGATGGCCAAGTCTGCAGACCTGCTTTGCATTCTCACCTTGCAGTGGCCCGGGTGCTTCTTCGCCCTGTCTGCCCTGGGGGGTGCTCTGGGCAGGCTGAGCATGAACACAGGCCAAGCATCACGCCCAAAGGTCTTGGACACTTTTGCCAGGGCTGGCAACCTTGGAGACATCATGAGGTGCAACAATGCGCAGACTACGGCAGCTGAACTGCTGGGGACGGGGCTCGGCGCTTGCTGGGGACTTCTCCTTGGTACCGAAGTTCGCCTGCTCATTTCTGGTAGTGCTCTGTTGTCCCTGGCCTCCTTGATATGTTGTTACCAGGCCACTACTGTGGTAAAGATGTCGTCCCTCAATCGGCAAAGGGCCGAGCTGGTGCTCATGGCAGCAGTCAAGCAGATTTGTAAGCTTCAGCAGCAGGGGGCAGATCTGGACCCCAGGCAGCAGTCTGTTATTATCCCATCCCCAGAAGAGATACGGCACCGCGAGGTCTTCGTCCTCTTATACAGCTCACCTGGTGACATAGAGGTGAACCCTGCTGTCACCACCTCCTACCAGCTCCTCACGCTGCCAGATCCCACGTCCAAATACTTGCTGGGCTGTTCGCGGGGACGGCTTGCAATTTGGTACCATGTGGAGGCCGCAGCACATGAAGTGCTGCAAGGTTTCTTTCATTCTCAGCTGCTGCTAGTTTTGGCAGAAGCGTCCGGCAAGGATGATGGCACGAATGGTGACTTTGTAAAAGCAAGCGCCCTGGCTGCCGACTTGGCCCAGCAATGGTGGGCATCGGTCTATGGCGCTCTGCTTTCGCAGGGGTGGCAAACAGATATGGTTTTCCTGGATGCACGGAACAAGCGGGTTCGCATTGACAAAAAGACACCTGTGTAGGAAGCAGCTCGGAAGCACGAGCGGAATTCATGCCCAAGGCCTGCGCCGGGTTCTAAATGTTCCAAATTAGAAGTCGCCTTCTGGATTCTTAGCCGCTGAGGCCAAGGCCTCAGCTTCCAGCACCTGTCTGGACAACATGCCTCAAGACGTTCACTGCCTCAACATGTTTCCAGTCTCTTTCAATTTTCTGTGTGCCCAAAAAGTCGCGTGGCATGGCTTTCCGCAGCTAGCAAGGCCTAGCTCTTGCAGCCAAATCCCCCCAGCTGGGACGGGTGCCAAGAGAAGGCTGGCGCAAAAGGAGGGCTCCAGAGAAATCCCATCTTTGAGCAACCAAGCCTTCTGAGTTGACCCTCTTGCCCAAAACACGTCAGCATCCTGAGACTTGGACTTCGTGGAATGTGGAGAGGGACTCTCTGTGTTAGATTCTTTTTAAAGCCTTGGTCTCTAACAGGTGGAGAATCCACTTCTATTGCGAATAGCCGCCAATGCTTCGTGCAAGCAGCAGGTCACTCTCAGCCCGGCCTTTGGAGTCCCGACCGGGTCAAATGCTGTGCAGGCCAAGAGGGCAGCAATCATTCCTGATAGAATTGCTTTCATTCCAGCTCACACCCTGGCAGGTTTGGTTCACAGCCTGGGCTTTGCCCCTGTGTTTCACTGGGTGGTACGTAATGTTGAGGGGGCAGTCGGATTTTCATCAAGCCTTTCACAAAGGAACGACGCATCACAACCTGAGCGTGGCATTGCAGTAGTGCGCGATTTGGCGGGGCCAGCCGGCTTGTCCGAATTTCTAGTCTGAACCACGTATGCTGATGTTTCTGACAAAGGTTTTTGGCTAGATTTGCCACCATACAAAGTAAGATGTGTCCTGCCGCCTGACCTCTGCGGAAACAGCTGTCCATCTTGCAGGTCACTACGGCTTCCTCCTTGCCGAAGGCAGGCTTTCTCTTAGCTGGGCCAGAGATGGCCAAACAGTTTAACATAGCCTCAACATCTTTCGAAGTAGTCCCTTTTAGTCTATGATTATTGCCCTTGTTTCCATGTTTTCCTCCGCCACCCTGCGCGTAAGCGTGAGGGTCTTAGCACAGAAAGAAAGGAGACTGCCAGGCACTTTGCTAGCTACTGGCGATCATGTTCAAGATACGAACCTGATCGCAAAGGCGTCGCAAAGGGCATCGCATTAGAAGCATAGGCCCAATCCGTGTGAGGCTCCATGTGTAGATGGTGGAGTGTTGAATTGAATCCTTTTTCCCTTGAAGCAGGCTTTAAAGAATTCCAGAACATATGCCGCGCTTTTGATATTTTGCAGTTGGGTGCGCGTGGCCCGGAAGCTGGCAGTTCCTTTTTCCCAAAGGCATTCTCGAGTTTTAGAGGCAGCTTGAAGCGGCCCTGGGAAGGTTGCTACAATCGGGTGCCTGTTCGGTTTGGGCGAGGAGTCGCGGTCTGAGGCCAGAAATGCCTTGTACTCTCTTGGCCATTTTGACTTTAAGCTTGTGCAAAGGTAAGATGTGTCTGCCAACATGCGTGTGCGCGCTTGGCGCAGCATCACCATTTTTTTGTGACTTAAACCTGTATCGGATGCCATTCATTATTGCGTGCCAGACAAGGCGTGCCGAGCCAGGTAGACACTGATGCATTACTTCTCTTTCTAGGCTCGATGCCCGCCGCCAGCTCCCTGCATGCTTACTGTGCTCAAAGTACTCTTTGGAACTGCCTGGTACCAGGCTTTGTTCCTTCAAAAAGTGGTTTGTACACATCTCGGCTGAAGCTCATGGCATGCTGGCTTCTGCTCCTGATTGCAAACGTCTGGAGCCTGTCGAATCTGGCGGCAGCCACTGAGGATGTGGCCGCAGCAATGGCAGTGGATGATGAGTGTGGGCATGATGCCCCTTGCTCGCTGAATGCCTTGCAGGTTCAGACCGAGAGAACGGACGGCCTCGAGGAACCAACACGATGTGACAACAGCAGCGCCTGTGCAGATAATCGCACATGTGTCTTCAAGCCAGATCGAAGTTGGAGTCAGTGCGTTCCTGTGGACGATGGCACTTTCCAGAAGGAGTGCCGGTACTGGGACAGAGGGCTACGTGATCAGGCGATCATCGCAACTGGCATCAGGTGCAACAGTGTCCAGTGCGAGTATGACCAGGACTGCCCATTGTCCACGGTCTGCGTGTCCAAGCCAGACGACAGTTGGGCCCAATGTGTGCCTCTCACGAAGAAGGAGTTCCAGACAGCTTGTGTCAAGTGGGAGGATGACTTTCGCTTAGCCGGCATTCGAGCCACTGGCTTCAATTGCCCAAATTCCAGATGTTACTCCCAGGACTGGTGCGTCAGAGGTGCTAGGTGCGCCTTGCAGAGCGATGGCAAATGGGGGCAATGCATCTCCTGCCATGATGACAGCACCTTGGCATAAATTTCAGTGAAACTTTCCGCAAGCAGCAGAGCAGACCCCAAATCACCACCAGCAGGCAGTCCACTAAAGTAGCTCAGCGCTGCAGCTTCCGTGAAGGAGAAAGGCTGTTTCAATCTGTTTCATATGATTGCAGCTCGGTTCTGGCAGGCTTTCAGACAAACTGCTACTCGTGGAAGGCCACTTTCATCTCGGCTGCTGAGTACGCATGTCACCGGAAGTGCCGGTGCCTGGGCCGCACCATTTCATTGCCAGTGTTTCTTAAGCTCCTGACTGCTGCTTCTGCTACACGGTTGGTCACCACCTCAAAGGCATTCACTTTTCTTGTCGTTGGTAATTTCCAGAGTCACATGCGGCGTGCCGCTACAGAACAAACTGGTGCTGCGGATAGGGCGCTGCCGGTCCTCGTGCTGTTATCCTGTAGTCTGCACCTGCTTAGATGTTTGCCAGAATGCTCTAGCATATTCGATGGCTTTCCAGGGGTCTGAGCACAGAAAAGAGAGCTTGAACCTGGAATGTCCACACAGACAAACGCACCGGTGTATTCATTGCTTCCAGGCATGGGTATGCGTGATATGCATCCATGATGTTTGGCCTGCTTCAAGGTATGATCTGGAGCCTGACAGTGAAGATGAGAAGTAGCGTGCTTGCAAGCTATAGCGCTGAAGCGGACCCTGGTGAAGTTTGGGGATGGCAAGATTTCTGAAGTGGGTGGTTCCCAAAATTAGGGTCCCAACTTGGTACCTCTGAATATTAGGGGTGCCGCAAGGGGCCCATAATTTTCAGAACTGAAGGACTTGAAGACACTCTTTTTCAAAAGCTGATTCTCGGGTCCGTGGAACTAGGGAGGATTGGGTCCGGCTGGGTCTCCCTGAGGCAAGCTGTTTCGGCAAAATGGTGGGCGTTGATCGCAGCTTCTTGAGCTTTATATTAAAGGCATTGAAGTTGATGTAGAGTTCAGGATGATAGCAAGCTCAGTGCTTTGCCCACCATGCCATGTAACATGCGTTGCAGACATACTCGGGGGTACCTTGCTGTGATAGAAGAGCTTGCCAATGCTCCGTAACTTGTAGCTGGTGACTGACGAATTGCTGAGGACAAAAAGCCTGCTCCCGCAAGTGAGCGTTCTTGCGTGCAAGCTGCGATATGATCGCAAGCAAATGCTGGATGTGCGTACTCTGTGGGATAGACGTCACTATGCCAAGGGCAGCTTGAATGGCTTGTTTCTCATCCCAACCAACCCAACAAGATTCCGATTGCCAGCAGCTCGGCGCATTGGCAAGGCAATCTTCCTGAGCGCAAATGACGTGCTCTGTGTGTCCGACCAGCCAGCGCTCGGCTAAGTTCGGGTTTCGCCTGATAGGCCTATCTATCTATATCTATGATGTCATGATGATGGTGAAGATGAAGATGACTATGACGATGAATGAGAAGAATATGATGATTCAGCCACATGATGATGATGATGATGATGATGATGATGATGATGATACGGCTTGTGTTGGTGATTTTGCGAAACGCCAGAGCATGGGGTTGCGTTTTCTGGGTTCTAGGTGCCCATAGTACTGGAGCCTGAACATGAGAGCTCCGCGGTCTCAGTTGCACCATTGCCCTTGGAACAGCTGAGACCAAGACTCCGACTAAGTGGCAGATAGGGAAAGAAGCTGACATTGGGGCTGTGTTTCTTGAGTCATCTGCATATTGCGCGTGAGCAACTCTCAATGAGCCTGTAGGGCTTAACGTTGGTACCCTTCGTAGCAACTCGAGGCCTACGCAGAGCCCAGGGAGGCTGTGCAGGGGCCGCCTGTAGAATTTACACCATGCCACCGACAATATGCTACCACGTGCGACACTCACAAGGGCAGCCAAGGTATGTATCTTGCAGGACCATCTTCTGGAGGACTCCAGGTCCTTCTGAATTAAAAATCCCACAAGCAGAGCAGTCTGCCTGAAATGGCAGTATATCAGCCGTGCCTGGGCAAGTCCAACCAGGCTACTTAAGGCAAACCCTGTCTTCTCCGGAAGATGTGAACAGCCGAATTAACAACACTGCGGGCCCAGTTGGGTCAGTTTGTTTGTTCACGCGCGGAAGTTTGGGTTGAGAACAGGGGACTGACAGCGGGCGAAACTATCCCAAGTCCTGCAACTTGTGCACACCAAATGCTGAAGCCCACAGCCCTCAGGGTATTATTATTAGTATTACTACTATTATTATATATCACTACTGTTGTTGCCTACGTAGAAGAACTATGATTTCCACTGCTGCAGGACAAAAGATCGCCGCACGGACTTAAGTTGACAAGTCTAAGGCTATGGCAACCTGGCAACCCCTCTCCCCGTAGACTGTTAGCACAGGCTCTCCGCTGGGAACTGTATAGTAATATACATTCTTTCCCCGAAATTAAATATTCCGCCAGGCTAGCCACGTCAAATGACATTTTTGCAATCTCCGCTTCTCCGCGGTGCTGTAGGCTATGAGGAGGTACTCCGTATGTCGAGACTTTCGTCCCGGGGATGTATTATTGTTATTATTATTACTATTACTACTATTACTGTTATTAATTGCTAATTAATTGTTACTATTATTTAAGGGCTGCCGCCGCTGCCGCCGACCCCGCAAAGGGGCGGCTGCAGCACAGGGGCAAATTGAGGGGTCCTCCCGGGAGTACTGTAACACATTAGATTTCTGTCAGGTAGGAAGTGAGGCTAGGGGGTCTTCGCCTTTTCACAATCTTTTCGAAGCGGGGTGGTGTCTGGGGCACCAGATGATAAAAGAAGTCTTGCTTGGGACGCTTCGTGGCATTTGGTA